TACCTTTTTCGAACTATAAAGCTATATCCTTTGATGAACAAATTCAACATATAAAATGCTTACTATTATTTAATGAAAGAATTTTCAAAGAAGATGACTTCCGCACAAATAAAGAAAACAGTCCTTATCTGAGATATTTTGCACTTACTCGCAAGATAATTAATTTTGTTATGATTTACGAGTTAGTTATGAAAAAAGTAATAATTTTAAGTTTTACACTTATGGGGGAAGAGCTATTTAAAAATTATTATTCTGATGTATCAATGTTGAGTTGTAATTAATATTTTTATGATTCTACAAATTTCTCAACAAAAAATTACTTAAATGACGTAGTGCTATCAACTTGCACTGAGTTTAATATAATAAAATTAACGTCCATAATATTTTTGGAGTTGACATTTAAGCAACTAGCAATTAAAAATTCATAGATTTGCCATTATAGATAGAAATGCTGAGCTAATTCGATTAGCACTCCGCTCTAGTAATGCTATAAAGACAAGAGTTAAGTGACTTACAGTAAACAAGCTTGATCAAGAAGTAGTCTGTGCAGTAAAGGCTTAATCTAGAGATTTATTTGATGCACTAGGCAAACCAAACTAAATAAAAATAAGGTTTCAAGATAATCTTTCATTCTGCTTAAGAATTCAGGCTTCAAGTGCCTTCTCAATGAGACTAGAATATACATGCTGGGAAATGCTTGATGCACATCATGCAAAATAACGCTTCGAATAGCACGGAAACCGATCTTCCAGATCACGAGAAAGACTTTTATAAAACCTACATGTAGAAACTTATAAAATAAAATGGTTCAGGTGGAAAATCATTTACGTCACAATGAGGACTATAATTAAACCAGCGAGGAGTGTGAATAATGCTTACTCAATCTACTCAAATGGGCGCAATGATGATGCCAACTATGAGGGTGATGAATGCCTAAGAATATCCTAAATCCACGGTCTGATGTTGAAAATTATTAAAGCTGAACTGACAAAGAATTCGTGAAAATGCACGTTCATCTTGGCATCTGGGACAATACGGCCAGAAATGAGCTTTACCCCCATCTATACAACGTGAGCAGACTGCTTATAAAATAGAGGTCCCTCCAATCTAATATTTATATTTTCGAGTTAAATATGTGGACACTATTTAAACTGTTTGTTAACTTAATAATAATATGAAATTTATTTTACACCAATTAAACTTTATATGAATTATTTAGTTTCAATCATTTCTTAGAGAAATTTATAATTAAAGTGAATTTATGCCCCATTAAATATCAATATAGACAAAACTAACACATTATGCGACTTAATATAAATTGCTGTTTTAAATTAAATGTTTTATTGAATTTAATATAAAAAATACTCTGTATAACAATATATGTGGATTTTGTTTAGATACAAATTTTATGAATAATCAAATAACTTCACCGTTCTTGGCTTGAGATGAAGAAAAATTCTTTGGTTCATTAATAGGAAAGGTAAGTTATCTTAAATAATAAAATGTACTTTCTTGTTTCATATTCGATTAGCTGTAAAGGATAGAAGAATGTTATTCAATTGCCTTCATGCCATTAAATGCCTGCAATGATAACTAGTTTGAGTAATTATAACTCTACAATGTTATTTAAAACTTTGATGTGGTACGACGTTCTGATATTTGATAGATGTGTAAGACTGCTTTTTAGACTCAGAATTCGTTCTGGCTTATTAGCACATTTACATCCAAGAAGGTGGCGGAAAGTTCGTCGAAATCGCAGGCTTAACCACGAATAGAAGAAAAAGTTAAGAGCTGAGTTTACTACCAAAAAAAGATTGGAAAAGTTGCCGGCTATTTGAAGCTGCTTCTCCCAGTGATGATCCACTGTTTTGCTACTATTTGCTTTTGAAGTTACAGATACAGGTGCATTTCGTACGTGTCGCATGAGTGAAATTAAGGCACTTGGAACGTTTAACAGACAGAAAGCAACCACAACAGCAATTAGCATAACTGTGATCCTTTGTCTCTCTTGACCACCTCCTGGGCCAAAACTAGTGCCAGTAGAGCCGAATAGGCCAGTGCCTGCACTACCACCGATGCTGCAAGCGCCAGTAACTAGAGCACTACCTTCACCACTTCCAGTATAACCGGCAACACCTTGTTCTGAGCAGACAGCATCCGTTTTTTCATCTTCTATATCTTTGGTTTTCACTCTTTTCGAAGTAAAAAAGCATTTGTGATTCATTTCCCCGATGTTTTTTACATCAGATAGTAAAGTTCCTGTTATATATGGAGACTGAGACAAATGATTATTAAGCATCAAAAGACGTGCGTTTCCCAGACCATTGATGCCTAGTCGTGATTGCGATTTCGCCATCTCTGGATCGGATACTTCAACGTTCTCTCCTCTGTCACGCCAGTCGCTACTTACGCGCCAGTTCCTAAGTGAAAAGCAGATGCAACACCACCAAGGATCCCCGATGCAGGATGAGTCAGTAGCAGGAGGATAAGCATAATTCAACCTCATTGAGGACTCCCGCTGTATGCCTTTTTTGACTTCATTTGCCTTTACTATTTTGGCATTATTATGTGGCTGATTTCGCCTTCGCCATTGAAAATAGCCACTCTGGTACGCTAGCTCACGACTGCTAATTGTACTTTTATGTAATTTGGAATTTGGCTTTTTTCTTTGCGAAAATATTGTTCCTAACCTTGGTTTTAGAATTGAAATCGTCATTTCATCCACTGGATTATCAGTACTCGAGGCAAGTTGGGTATCAGGGGAATTTCCGTATTTTTCAGCAGTAGCAATCGAGTCTATTCTTTCCATAGACTTTATTTTAAGGGTAGAGTCTTGACTCCGAAATTGAAACTTTTGGATACCCATTCCACGCCTTCGCCGATTCGCCCTTATCACGGAACGTATAAGCAAGATATTAAATACTCCCAAGGTAATTAGTGGAAGAAAGACAAAGAGAGCGCTGATGCAATAAGGCCAGCCACTAGCATCGAGCCAGTTGCCATATTTTGAGTTGCCAAGCTTGTACATGCTTTCAGAACATACTCCTTTTTGCCTAACAGTGCTATAGTTGTATGCTGCGGGGAGGGTAGCATTTACTCCAAACTTAATTACGGCTAAGTATTCGGCCATTATATTATTAGTTTTTGAAGAATAAATTCCCTTTGTTTGGTTGTCAATGCTGGTTTCTGTGAGCTTTGTCTTTAATGTCATTTGAAAGAAATCAGGTAGCGTAAGCAAGAAGCAACAGGCACAGACAATGGCGATTACCCAACGGGAGCGTTGGCGAGTGCACAACTTGCGGGCCAGCATCGGCGCTGAGACAGCGATATAGCGTTCCACAGTGAAGGTACAAGTTAGCCAGCCTGCTGTATTGCTCCACAAGTTTCCCAGAGCCATCAAATATGGTAGCAGCAACATATACGCAGCTCGGGCCTCTAAACTTGAACGCAGAGCTAGGGGCAGCACTGATAGACCGTATAAGAGATCACACACGGCCACAGCGCGCAGATACATGTTGGTAGAAGACTGCATGCAGGGCCTTGTGAGCACAATAATATTGAGAAGATTAGAAGTCACACCAACCACAGAGATGATAGGAATCATTATTTGAGTACAGATTAGACGCACGAGGTATAGGGCACGTTCCTCTTCTTCGCAAGCTGGGCGCTCAGGTTTCCCATCACCCCCGCGAGGCAAAATGCTGATACCAGAAAAAGAGATGTTTGTATGGTCAAGGATATTGCTAGTGGATGGTGAGGAAACAAGCAGCATATATGGTTTCATGTCTACTGCGGCACCAGTCATCGCCTTTACTTTGATCACATCTATCCAGCGATGGTCATTACTATCTTTAGATATGTTGATACTGAGTGGATCAACTCGGCTGATTTGACAGAAGGAAGCAACCTTCTAATTGACAAATATGATAAATAAATCGCGCACGATTATCAATTGTAATTGCTTTGTGGGGTAAGCAGTTTGCTGGGTTGTTCCAAAAGCAAAAACAATCAAGCAGAAATGCAACCTTTGCTTTAGAGTCTCTAAGATGCATGCTCCATAATTGTTATTAAAAGATCGGTAAAGATGCGTCCAGGAGGGCAAATATACTTACAGTTAGGCTTTATAGTATCTTTTGCAAGAAATCTAAAGATAAAAGAGTGCTATCAAGCAATATTTGACCATTTTAGGAAAAGTTTGACTGGCTAAATAAAATCGCATTCTGATTGGACATACCAGCTTCCAATTGAAATACAGGAATTGCATTAAATTTTCTCAAGTTTTTGACTGCTAAGAGGATTATATATAGCACTAATATAAATATATATAAAGATTTTTGTGGGCCAAATATGACACAATTGTATACAAACAAATGTAAAAACTGAATTTCTTTTAATGATTATGGTAATCAGTTATTTAAATTACAATATGGCTACTATGCTAGACCACTTAAACTTATT